TAAAAACTTTCCCACTGAATTATAATATTATTTATAATTATCCGGTAGTACATAATGAAAAAAATTGCTGTTGCAAACATAAATTTACTGTGAAAAAAAATCATTTGACTAACAGAAACTTTAAGTCAAATCGGTCCAGCCGTTTCTTTAAAACAATTTTTGCAAGATTTTCGCGGATTTTTCTCAAAATTTTCTTTCATAAAAACTTTCCCACTGAATTATAATATTATTTATAATTATCCGGTAGTACATAATGAAAAAAATTGCTGTTGCAAACATAAATTTACTGTGAAAAAAAATCATTTGACTAACAGAAACTTTAAGTCAAATCGGTCCAGCCGTTTCTTTAAAACAATTTTTGCAAGATTTTCGCGGATTTTTCTCAAAATTTTCTTTCATTAAAACTTTCCCACTGAATTATAATATTATTTATAATTATCCGGTAGTACATAATGAAAAAATTGCTGTTGCAAACTGTTTCGCACTTACGCCTTTTTACCTTTCTTGCCTTTTTTAATTTACAAGATTTAGTTTAGTTTAATTTTTAGAATTCAGTTTAGGCTTTTATTCAGATTTTGTTAGGTTTAGGCTAGGTTTTGTACACATTCAATTTTTGTAGGTTTAGCGCTATTTTATATATGTATTTTTTGGTTTAGGTTTTAGATATGTAGGTATATATATATATGTACAGAGTATTTAGTAGGTTTTTTTCTCGTTTACTTTTAAGTCAGTTAGATTTTAGTTATTTTTTAATTCAATTAGACTTTAGTTATTTTTAATTCAAATATGTTTTAGTTATTTTTAATTCAGGTAGATTTTAGTTATTTAGTAAGTAAGTATTTTAACATATTTTTAAATTCACTAGGTTTAAGTTTTTTTTTTAATTTTAAGTTTTTAATTTAGTTTCTGCCCAAATTTCACTGGCTCACGGTTTCTTCGTTGGCACCCACTTTTGTTGATTGTTGTTGAGTCTTCCGTATTGTTTGTTTGCGAATCTATAAAAAACTTTATTTGTTAATGTCACTTTGTTTCTGTTTTTGTTGCACTTTGTCACGGGGGGGAACACTGTTTCGCGGTTTGACGATCGAAAAAAGACTAGACCAAACTGAAATTTGCAATGTCATAGCAAACCAGTTTGAGCAGTGCGAATTTTCCATATTTTGGAATTCAGCACTGGAATTTACCGGTGGCTACATAAACATAGTGTGGGTGTATGTAATTTTATTTGCACTATTTACATTGTTTACATGTAAATGTGCCCAGTGCCGCTTATGTTTATGTAGCCGCCGGCAAAATATCAACCGACAGCTTTGGGCTGTTTGTACCGTAGTACAATGCCGCATACGACCTTTTTGCCGCCGGCTAAAGTTTTAATGACAGCTGTGTGCTGTTTTAATTTTTATGTTTCTCTAAACACAAACATAAATTTACTGTGAAAAAAAATCATTTGACTAACAGAAACTTTAAGTCAAATCGGTCCAGCCGTTTCTTTAAAACAATTTTTGCAAGATTTTCGCGGATTTTTCTCAAAATTTTCTTTCATAAAAACTTTCCCACTGTAATTACCGACATCTGAAAACAATTTTGAGTCAAATCGGTCCAGCCGTTCTCAATTGATGCGTTAGTATACATTTTTTTGGCTCCATGTTTTTCATTATCTTATATGTCCCTTCTTGTTTGCTGTTGCAAACATAAATTTACTGTGAAAAAAAAATCATTTGACTAACAGAAACTTTAAGTCAAATCGGTCCAGCCGTTTCTTTAAAACAATGTTTGCAAGATTTTCGCGGATTTTTCTCAAAATTTTTATAATTACGATGTATATTATTATAAAAATATTTTAAAATATAATGTTTTTACAAGACTGATAAAAAATAAAAAAAAAAACTATAAAAAGTACATTCGGGGTAGATTCGGCATTTTAAAGTGGGGCACATTCGGCCATATACAGATAGTGCAATATTATTTCCTTAAAATGTTTTTGATTTGTCTTTAAAAATAATCCTTTAATATGGTTCGAAATTACATATATAAGACTAAACGTGCCTATATTGGCGAAACTGCGATAGAAAAAACCTATTTCTGGTGGTGTGTGCGGCCTTGAAATTTCAACGTCCGCCGTTAGAAAATATAGCCCCAAAATTCAAACATTGTGTCGCGTATTAAAACCAATAGAGGATCTGAATTTCAACCAGACTGATAGCGATGATAATTACCAGGCTATGACTATGGCGCCGAATGTGCCTATCAAATGCCGAAGCTACCCCGGGTTGGGGCACATTGGCGAATTAGACTTTTTACAAAATTGTAAAAATTTTTAACTAATACTAATTTTTTATATCAGCCATAAAGTTTTTATATATATTTTAAATAAGTACTGAGATATAGAGCTCTAAAAAAATGTGCCGAATGTGCCCCAGTCTCCCCTACCAAATAGTACTCTTATCGCTTTTAGCTTTCGCATCGAACTTGCATTCGAATCGCAATACAAATCTCGTAGACGTTGTCGTAGTCGATTTTTTTGGTTTAATGTAGAATATACGAATGCAGCAAATTTTAAAAGAGTTTTTTTATATAACAAAAACAAAATAAACATCATTTATATTTTAATCGGGTGTTAATGAATGATTTGCAGTCCTGGATACCTTTTAATATTAATGTATCAGTAACATGGTTGTCTGCAAATTAATACTCAAAAGATTAAGGTTTTGTTTTTGAGAAATTGTAAGAGGATTCAACAAATGTTTCCATTTACAATAATTCTATAAATGTAAACTTTATTTTGAGAAGTTGCACTCTCTGTATATGGTTCTGCCATTAGAATTAAATTGACCCATGCACTATTTGGCAAACTTTTTGTATTATGTATGTCATGTAAAATTAAGCCCAGTTCCCAGATTATATATGGGCAATATTGTCAATTTTTTAATATTCCATTTAAAAAAAAAATCGACTTTTTTGTTTTCGTGTTATATCAATGATTTTTGGTACACATATAGAGAAAAATATCCTGACTCCGAATCCGTTCGCGATCAAATTTTTGGTTGATGCGCTCAAAATTTATCGAGGTTTTAATTTTTGGCATAAGGAAAAAATCTTAAAATAATTACGCCGTTTATTATATTGACCAGAAACGGTGATATGTGACTTCCTTCGTAAAGTATAAGTATGAAGATATTATAAAAATCGCGAAAAGTTTGCACATTTTCGCGAAATATAAGAAAAATAATAAAAATATAGGACATTATGTCATTATTTTCATTATATTCATGACATACATCCACCTGAAAATTAATTTAAAAATATCTACATAATCTAAACAACAAAACAACATATCTTAAAATAAAACTTTATTATGAAATATACATTTCAAATGGTGTCTAAATCGCGTAATTCTCAATATCATTTGATGCGCATGCGGTTTCCAGAAAATACTGAAGTTTATCTTCATCGATATATACCGATTTCAATGCGGTCCATTAAGAACCATGGATGGCTCAGCTCACTTTATTATTGAGATAAATTGGGTGCATCTCCCTTTTGGCTGAAGTTTTTAAAGTTCTGTTCTCGCAAAATTTCAAAATCTGTATCAGGTCATTTATTGAAGCGGAAATGATCCACAGAAAATGCAATTAAATCCGCGATATTTTCAAAAACATTTTTTGCCAAATTTCGTGTTTTTGGAAGGCCAGTTCTTGGCGTCCTAGTAGATGGATTTTAACGAAAAAGATTTTTTCAAAAAACAGTCAAAATCGAGCTTCAAAATGTCAGCATCATTTAAAGGTAGATGCAGTTAAAATTTTGAAAAATGATACACAAGAGACGTAGTCCCCATTTTGTTGGCTCCTAGTTTTATTTTGACAAGAAGACCGTGAAATGAGTGACTTAGTTATAAATCGATAGAGAACATAAAAAAACTGGTTCGCCTCAACCGGTTTTTACAAATTTTTCCACATTAAAGTAGTCACAGCTTCCACCCAAATGAAGTTTGGATGAAAATGAAGGTGGGCGAAAAGTTTGCAATGAACGCAAACCTATTCATTTTTTTCCATATACTTAAATAATTCCCGAGTTATAAAGGGGTGAACCTCGGCTTCAGCTATGTTAAAAAAATGGCAACATTGCCCATATATATACATTTCTCCTTATGTAAATGGATATGTGTAGAGATGGTATGTACAGGGTAAATAGACAAGGGGTGGGTAAATACCCATTTGCGGGAATTTATTTTGGTATTTACTATATTGAAACGCTAATACAAAATCTTACGCGTTATTTCCGGGTTTATTTAAATACCAAACCACTTGGTTTTGTCAGTTAAAGAGTTTATACCCAATATTTGGGTAAATACTCGTGTATTTACCCACAAGTATTATAAACTATTTTTAACGATTTGATAACTGAAACATGGAAATGGGGTGTAAGATGTTATATTGGTGATCCAAATAAAAATCTACCCAGTGCCCATCTCTACATATGTATTGTTTAAAATTAAGCTCCTGTAAATATTGGTCAATAAATATTGTTAACACACATTTATTTTTAAATTATATTTCTATTTTGTACGGTGTTGTCAACAGACGACATCCAAAATACCGATTTTCCATATAAACACAACTTCATACTACTTTCGATAGACAGTGACAAGCATTTTGTCTAAACCAATTTGGAATTTGAAAGTTAGCTTAAAAATTATAATACCTATGAATTCATACTAAGCCTAAGATTAGAAATGTGAAACATTTTGACGTTAAATTAATACTAGACAGATACTAACAGAAACAAATACCTACGATAAATATTTTAATCAAACATTAGCTGATAAAATATTATGAGTCTTAAAACAATATTAAAAAACTAATATAAAAATTATTAAATTATTAAAAAAATAATTATTAAAATGTATATTGTAAAAATCATTTAATTCGCAGTGTAATTGTTTTTTGTTACAGAATCGATGAATTGTATTAGAAAAAATATATAAAGGGAAAATCACTTACCCATTACACTGCCTTCCTTGTCGGTAGTATATTCAATGTAAGCAGTACTTTTATCTTCAATGCGTAAATTACCGATTATGAAATCTTTGGGAGGTTTTGGCAAATGTTCCGTAACAAACCACTGCAATCGTGGCCAACCTTTTAGCTTAGCTATTTCTCCAGTACTAGATTTTGGTAAACCTTTTAAACAGGCTTCCGAAGTTAATGCTACGGTTATGCCACAAGAACTTAAAAGAAATCCAACTTGTTGTGGGGGCGTATCCGAACTAGATAGTGGCAGTTCTATAGGAAGCGGAACAAGTCCTCTAAACATGCAACCATACCAAGCCGTGATGAAACTGAAAAAAAATAGAATAGGTTTAAAAAAAACTAAACTAAAAATCGGATAATACAATTAATTGTTGAAAATAAAATGTAGATGAAGGCACTAAGAGAGGCATAATAACACTTTATTATTATTATTATTTATTATTCATAATCAATAAGCCTATAATGGCCAAACGAGATTACAGAGTTTTATATATGACACGACAATAAATTCATACAATTCAAAATAATCTGCAAACTTATATTAACTATAAACTACCCTAATTCATTAACAATCGCACAATATACCTAACAACAACGCTGAAAATATGCTATATCCTGTATTAGTGAAAATTTTAATTTAATGCAAAGTGAGCAGTGATTACAGATTTAAATGCATTTGGAGAATAAGAAAAACGTCTTTCATTATAAGGTATATAATTGTTCCATAACCGACAAACTCGAACTATAAAGGAATTTTGCATAACCAGACTCGTGAAACGCGGTGTTATTAAAGATTGGGATCGGGAAGAGTTGCAAAAATTAAAACCATCTAAAAGATAATTGGGAATTCCACTCCTAAATGATTTATAAAAAAATGCAATAAAACCCGCAGTTTAACAAAATCCTCAAAAGAACATCCCAAAAAATCGAAAACATGAACCGAAACGTGATCATGTATACGCAAATTGTAAACAAATCTTATAATTCGGTTAAAAACTATTATTACCTTCTGGAAATGAGAGGCAGTCGTACCAGAGAATATTTCTATCCCATAGATTAGAAGAGGCATCAATATTGAGTGTGCTATATTCTTACGGATATTTAATGGAAAATTACACCTTGTACAATATATTCTTCTTAAAACAAAAGATATTCGCGATATTATGTAATTAATATGATTTCCAAAAGTAAGTTTATTGTCAATATAAAATCCAAGTGTTTTTATGTAGGAAGAACACTGAATGACTTCTCCATCGACATTTAGCTGTGTTGATCTGGGTCCACCCATATCAAAAACCATAATTCTAGTTTTTGAAGAATTTAAAAATATAAAGTTGTTTTCACACCACGATTTGATGCTGTTAAGGTTGTTTCTCATTACATCCTCAATGTTAAGCACATCCGCAGAGCCAACAAGTTGCAGGTCATCTGCATATAAATAACCCCGAGCTCGATCCTTGTGGCACCCCTATTAACATCCTTAAGTTGAGATTTCAGTTCACCTATCTGGACAAACTGTTTTCTATTCTCAAGAAACGATTCTATTAAAACGCAAAATTCATAAAAAGTTTATTTAACAGAGTTTCATGGCAAATAGAATCGAATGCTCGAGTGAAGTCAAGTGACATAAGAAAAGTAGGACTTTTTTGATCGAGCTTAATTCTAACATCATCTGTTATTTTCGTCATAAGAGTAGTTGTGCTATGCCCGAGGACGAAACCGGATTGGTAGTCACTTAACATGTCATGGACAGTTAGAAAATGTGAAATTTGGTTCCTAAGAATAACTTCCAAGATTTTTGAAAAAACAGGGAGTATACTTATTGGCCGATAATCGGAAGGTGTCTGAGGAAATTTAACTTTTGGTATGGGAATGACTTTGGCAATTTTCCACGATGAGGGATACTTTGAAGTCATGACTATGTAGTTAAAAATGTGAACAATATGTTCAGAAATAGGATTGAAAAACAATTTAAGAAATTTTAGAGAAATGCCATCACAACCAATAGAGTTTGATTTAATCTTATCATATGCTAAGTTTCTTAAAGTAATTGCATTCTGAATATTGACAGATTTCATCCATTCAGTTGACCCGGACGTACGTACTTTCTTTATAGGGACGTGTTTTTCATATAGGTCAAGAAATATGTTGTTAAAACAAGATATTTTATCTTCCAATACTGTAGTTCCATATATTGAACTAAAATCAGCCGCATGAAGATCTTCTAAAGAGCTGTCGTAATTTAACCTACTGTAATCTCTTACATTAATAATACTTGTAGTTAGCCTCTTTTCCCAGGAATATGAAATATGTATAGCGGCGTGGTTAGAATTTAGGGCTGGAAAAGAAAACTGGCCTTTACTAACTACTAATGAAGACTGAGATACAATAAAATAGTCTATAAGAGAAAGTCGATCCGAGAATAAGTTAGAATGCGTTGGCCTTTTATTGTGAACAAGTTCTATACCTGCCATCTCACACAGATTTCTAATAGAATCGCCTTGTGTGAATATGTCAACATTGAAGTCGCCCATTAAAATACTATTTGAGTAGCGCGCAGTAATGTGAGTTATTATATCTCCCCTCCTTACAGCCCTATCTGATCGGAATATGTTATATCCATTTATATTGACAGCATTATCTAAAATATAACTTCTTAACCATGTTTCTGAAATTCCTAATATATCAATTGAACCCCTTTCAAAGATATGTCGGATCTCATCCAGTTTAGCCGAGTATTTATGAGGCATTATACTTTGAGCACTAAAATGTATGCAGTTAAGATTGTGAGCATCGATATTATCTTTTGAAATCAGATTCCTACTAATAACAGGACCTAGCGTATTATTATGAGTCATTATTATTAAATAATTGTGCGATTGTTAAATGCCCTATAACCGTACTATATCTAAAATTATACATGTTCAAAGTAATAGTTAATAAATATAAATTCATTCCTTTTATAATTTTATATCAATCCAAAACAATTATATTTATATAAACGAAAAAGTATATATTAGCATAAATTGATTTATTTATATAGAACAGATTATATATAGTAACACTATTGGAATGTTTAGAGATCCTCAGAATGTGATGCAAAGTTTTCTTCTTCGGAGATGTTATTCATAAATGTTGATATTTGAGCATAATCTAATGTTTTTTCAGAGCCATATTGCAATATTACCTTAGCCGCAGGAATTTTTTTTTGTTGCTGCGCAAGAGCTTTCTACACATCCAATTCATTTTAGCCACTAGCGGGGTTATATTCTCATTTATGTATACCCTCTTTTGGATATCAGTTTCAATAATTTGGCAAAGTTGCAGGTTTCGGCTTTCGAGATACCTTTTCATTAAATCGTCTCTCTTCCTCAATGTATTAAACTTTACAAGCAACATTCGTTTATTTTTGATCCAGCTACATAAATGTATATCAAAAGGCTGAATGTCTAAATTAAAAATCTTCCCAATCTTTGGAACAATGTCATATGTTTCATCTGAAGACAATGTCGATGGCAATCCACTTATAAGAAGGTCTCCCCTGATCAATTGTTTACGGATAGCATTATTCTCAATTTCAAGTTTAGTAATCTTTGATTCCACAGCCTCTCCTTGGTTTTTATGTGATGCAACACAGTTTGCCAAATCAGACTTAATAGCATTCAAATCTGGAACCACATTGTTTGACATTAGGTTAGTCAAGTTTTTAATTGCAGCTTCTAGTTCATTTATTTTCATACCAAAAAGTTCATTATTGGAATTAGAAGTACAACCTTTTGATGAAGTAGATGGATGATTTTGTACATTTAAACAGCTTCGACAACGATAAACCAAAGCACCCTTGCTTTTTTTAATGACATCAATCATAGATGACGAAAAATCTGGATTATTGAGAGATATGCATTTGATATGAAGTTCGTTGTCACACACTGTACACTTAATGCTTCCTCCTCTGCCTTTAGATCAGGGTTAGCCAACAATACGTATGCAAACTGGACACACGCATAGATCCGATGGGAGAGTAATTTTCGTTCTCTCGGTACTGATCGTATTTGTTAAAGCATTGCAAAGCATACAACATGTTCGATGTCGAGAATAATGTTGAGTTCGAACACAGAACTGTGATTGTATTGGTACTCTCTCAAAGCGCCCGCGGGCGCCTGTTTGGTGAACATTGCTTTAGATAATTCACCTTTACACTGGAAACAAGCCATATTTATAATTGATTTTACAGCTGACACCCCGACTTTATTAATGTCTTTATGAAAAAATTTTTATGTTCTTCTCACTGACATCCAATCTGCTCATTACTTTCTTTTTGCGAACAGAGTAAAAAAAAAATAACAAATCCACTAAAGACTTTGGAGAATTTGTAGACTTTATCAATGACAACAAACACTCATTACTCGTTTCCACCGTGTACTGCTCTCAATCTTAGTTTAACACTGTCCCTTTTCATTATCTTATTTATTTATAAGTTTGCTTCAATCGAGAGAGTAATAAGAGTTTTTTCGTGAGTACATCTCTCCCGTGCACTACACATCAAATTTTATTTCGATTTTTTTTCTGTTTGTCTCTTTTTTTGCATTTGTTATCCAGTCACATTCGTTGTCCGTTGGTTCTTAAACAGCATTATTGTTTTTTTACTTTATGCGTACTCAATAGTTCCACATGTTTTTATATTGTTCTCTCATTGTTTACATTTGATTTGGAGAAAACTATGCATTTTTACGTAACTGGATTTTTAAATTTAGTCTGGATATATCAACTGAATTTATTTAGATTAAAATCACTTTGTCGTATTAAATTCCATATTTCTGGAGTTAACAAACATTATATTTAACATATAGGAATAGTTGGATGACTTCTGTGAGCTTCATTTATGATAAAATACAAAGTTTTCGGACCGCCACAAAAAATACGTCTACTCGCGTGCCATTGTTCTCGTTCGTTTTTACCCAAGCATAATCTCCAAAACAAAGCGCAGCTGATTAAAACAGATAGACATACACAGATTGTATGTAATAAATGTTATTTCTATAGTAATATATGGTTGTTGTTGTAGCAGCGCTATTGTTTTTACGCAATGGGTTGTGGTGACAGAGTAAGACTCGGGCCGTTTCGGATCGTTGAAACGAATCTATGGTTGTTGTTGTAGTAACTGAAATATAATAACGGAATTTACAAGGTATTGTCTGATTCTAGCTCTTCCATATTCAAATTCAGGACATTATCTTCGTACCTTCGTGAAGATGACCCACTTCTGTCTTCAGCATCTCACCGAAATTGATTTGCGTGGATTACTCAG